CCCCCCCCCCCCCCCCCCCCCCCCCCCCCCCCCCCCCCCCCGCGCCCTTTCTTCCCCCCTGGAGGGCTGGGGCGGGGGGGATGAAGGATGAAGGATGAAGCCAGGGCGGTTTATCCATGGGCTCTGCCCGCCCCCCCCTCATCGTACCCGGGTGACCTTTCAAATCAAAGCCCGGCTCGTACCTACCAAGGTGCACTGGGCAGCAAGGGCTGGGGGGGGTGATGGGGAGGGGGGGTGATGCACCCGGGCTCTCCCCCTCCCTCTGCCTTTCCCCCTCCCTCCCTCCCTCCTCCCTCCTCCCTCCCTCGCTGCTCCCTCCCTCTCTCTCTCCCTCTCTGCTGCATTTTGCATGAGCTATCTAGGTCATTAGCATTTTAGCGTATGCAAGACTTGACAAAGCTGATGAGAAGCCAGATGGGCCCCTCTCCTCTTTTTTTTGCACCACTTGGGATCTGAGCGAAAGGATTGACTGCAGCAGGCGAACGGGGGAAGGTTTATTGCGCTCCTCCAGACCCCCCCGTTTATAGCAGCGCGGCGGGGCTCGGGGCAGGCGGCAGAGAGCGGGCAGCGGCGGGCAGAGACGGAGGGCAGGTAACGGGGCCCCCCCGCCGCCCCCCCAACCCCACAGCCCGGGGGTTCTTTGATTTCATTGAGGGTTTTTTCCGAAGGGGGGGGTTCGGTTGGGTTTTATCCCCCCCCCCCGCCCATGGGGAAGGGCGCGCCGGAGCCTCCGCGGGGCGCGGAGAACAAAGGCTGGGCTCCGCGGGGTCCCTCTCCCCCCTCCCCTCCTTCCCCCCCTCCCCTTTTTTTCCTTTTCTTTTCCCATTTCCCCTTCTTCTTCTATGCATTTTCTTGCTCCCGAGGAAAGGCCCCTCTCTCCGTGTTCACAGCGGACCTTGATTTAAATGTCCATACAATTAAGGCACGCGGTGAATGCCAAGAACGAGGCTGACCAGCATCGAGGCCGGAGGCGGCTCCGCGGCTCTCCCGCACCCGCGGAACCCCCCACGCCCCCCCAGACCCCCTAAGCCCTCCCCAAATACCCCCCTGAGCTCGGCCGCGGGGCGCGCAGGCAGCGCTGCGCTCCGGCGCAGGTGGCACCGCAGCGCGGGGAGGGGAGGGAGAGGGATGGATGGGATGGGATGCGATGGGATGCGATGGGATGGGATGAGGGGACAAGGCAGCTTTTGCGGGGGTCCCCGGCATGAAGGAGAGGGGTTCCTTGGTCTTACAGGCGCCCGGGGTGCGGAATCTGGAGCTGTCACCCGGGGGTGCCCCGCGGGTGGGCCTCGGGGGGACGCGGCTGCTGCCCCCGGGGGGGGTCGCGGCTGCTGCCCCCGGGGCTGCTCCGCTGCCGCCGCTTTGTGCTTTGCCTTTTCTTTCGCCTTTTCTCTGCAGAGCGATGGGGTTTTTTCCCCTGCTAAAAGCAATGGCAGGTCTTGGGGTCACCGGGGCTCACGCTGCTCCCCCGGCGGGGGAAGGAGGGGGAGGAGGCTGAGGCAAAGCCGCTTTTTTTTCTTTATTTTTTAAAGCTTTATTATGATATATTATTTTTTTCCGGTGGCTGTTTGTGTGTCTTTCCCCTCCACCCTCCCTCTCCTTTTAATCCTTATAATTTAAATCAAAAGTGCCGGGGAGAAGAAGGGGGGGGGAGTGCTGTGTCTGCAGGGCGAGGCCGGGCGTAAATCTCTTGGAGGGATAAACATGTCATTTGTTCCCTTTGTATGGTAATGCTGTCCCCCCCCAGCTGCCCCCCCACCCCCCAGCAGCTGCCCCGGCCATACATCCTTCCTACAAAAGATCCCAATTACCCATCGGCTGCCTCATTATACTCCTTACACAGCCCCGGCGAGAGGCGTGTGTGTGCGAGGAGCCGAGGGGAAGGGGGGGATGAAGGGGGGTAAAACAGCACCTGAATTATTCAGAAAATAAAATAAAATTCAAGAAACGGGAGGCGGCGGGAGGGAGGGGGACGGAGGGATGCTGCGACCCCGGAGGGATGCTGTGACCCCGCGGCCTAACACGGAGCAGGTGCCCCTCAGAGCCTCCTGCAGTGCAGGGGCTGCTCCCCCTTCACCCCCTATACCCCACTGGTTTATTTCCCCTTCCTCCTTTTTCACGCTTTTATTTTTATTTCATTTTTTTCCTCCGCCTTTTTAGCCATCGCCACCCCTCTGCCCTGCTCCCCGCTGGGCCCCTTCACCTCCCTGCCCTTCTCCCGTCCCTCTCCTTCCTTCCCTTCTCTCTGCAGCTGGAGGCCAGCCCGCCCCGCATCCCTTCATCCCGGCCCATCCCAGCGCTCCCAGCAGGTGCCTCGCACTGGGGGAGGACGGGCCTTACAGAGGGGACAATCCCCCACCCCTCGGAGCTATTCCGGGTTTGGGGGGCCCTCGGTGACGGCGCGGGGGGTCCATCTCTCTTTGCAGCTCCGCGCCCGGACCCTCACCTACGGAATGGTGCCCTTGGGAACACTGACAGCGGCTCGGGGGCCCTGGGACGCCTCTTTGCTCCCCCCCGCGGGGTGCTGCAGGTATTTCGGGACAGCCCTCCCTGGGCTCTCCTCCCGCCGGGTGCGGATGCCGCAAGGAGCCCGTCGGGTCGTGCCGTGCCGTGCCAATAAAGCTCTTTCCTCGCGGGTTCCCGCATCCTCTCCTTTGTTCGCGGAGGTTTCTCGCCCGTCTCTTTCCGGCAGCGGAGGCAGGACCCCCCTGAAGGACCCGCACTCAGCACCAGGTGGGGGATGAATATTAAAATCCGCCCCAAAATAAAAAACCTCAGCCTTTCAATTCGGCAGCACCACGGTCGCCTGTTCGACCCTGGGCGGGCGCCTCCACATCCTGGACCTCCAGGAGAGTCTGAATTGCCAGAGGGCTCCTGTTTAATGAGTAAAAGGGGAAAAAAGAAAGAGCTTTGGGGTGCCTTCTGTCTGGGATCACAGGCAGACCCCTGCCCCGCCGCACTATGCGCCGAGCATCCTCCTGCTGCGCCGCCGGCCCCGGCAGCACCCGGCCCTCTCCAGCAGAATGGATTTTCCTCTAAAGCTGCAGCATGGGAGAGAAAAACAAGACCTAAATAACCGCAAATAAATAAACAACCTGTTCATGTCTTGCAAAAATGGCCGGGATGAGGAGACACCATCACTGCGCATCCGGAGGCCGGAGGCCTGGGACCCCTCCGGGGCCCGGCTCCCTCCCTCGGGCTCTGCCCGGGGGATGGAGAGGAGGGGGCAGGAGGCTCTTATTAATACTAATCCCAAGAAATATTGCTATGCCCTGAATAAATCAGGCTGGGGGTTTCTCGAAGACCTTTGCCCCCTCGAGAGGAGCTGCAGCACAGCCCCTCCTCTTCTGGGTGGACACTTTGGGAAGGGAAATGGAAATGGAAATGGTGTGGAGGGAGGGGGGGGGTGGACAGATGCGTTTGATTTTTTCACTGAGGGCTGGAGGAGGAGGTGGCACGATTTTATTCCAGGCACGTCAGCTCCCCCCTCCCTCCCTGTCCCCTCCTTCCTCCCTCCACCCGCAGTCCGATGTAAACATAACGGCTCGAAACCTGCCAGGCTGCATCCCCAGTTGGATTATAGGGGGGAATTAAGCAGCTTGTGAGGAGGTTTGATTAACATAGGGATGCCCCCAAATAACCTTCAGGCGTCTGGCCTCAAGGTCGTGCACTGTGAGGGGCTGGCAGGGCTGGGGACAGGGACCCTCAGGTACCCCAGGATGTGGGGAGAGGGAAAGGGTGGATGGAGCGGGGAAGTGGGACGTGCAGATCCTTCCATCTGCGGTTTTATGCCATTTTTATTTCTCCTGCCCACGCCCACCCCTGACCGACTCGCTCGCCACTGCAGCACTGCCTGGGCTCTGAGATGCTCTGGCTCCAGCGGGGAGGCGGAATGGTAGATGTGGGAAATTCCTCTATTTCCCTCATTTCCCAGCTCTCTGCTGAGTGTCAGCCCTGTCCACCTCTGCTCTTCACCCAGCCATGAAGGATGATGGTCTCCCAGCAGAAAGGTCTTTTCCTCCACATCCCCACAACATCCAGCTCCTTTTTTCCATTTATTTTTACGCCATGTGCCTCCTTGAACCACAAACTAACATATCCCCCAGCAGCAGCAGCCAAAGTGGGCGTTTTATTGGGAAATCTAATCAGGTTTCGAGAGGAAAATCCTTTCTGAACGTCTCAGCTAAGCAACGAGCTCGATTAAATTGTTTAGACTACAAAAAGGGCAGAGAGTCCCGTATTCTTTTCCCTCTCTGCTCTTCCTGGACAGCACCGTCATCTCCACACACCACTCCACGGTCTTCAAAGCCCAAACAAGCCTCGATGACACAGGACTCACATGTCATTCCCCGACATCCCCCCCTGCCCCGCCTCCCCCCAGCAACAGAGTCACAAATCATCTCAAACACTCTAAATTTAGCCCGGCAGCGAGACCACGAACAGGCATTTCAGTGACATCACTGTTGGAAATTAAGGGGTCAAACAGGGAAGCCGAAGGCGGCTCCCTGAGGAGCGGGGACACCCTGAGGAGCCACCCTGTTTCCCCTCTTAAGACATCTCAAAGCAGCCCCTCAAAACGTATTTTTCCCATCACCCAAAATGCCCAGAATTGAGCAGTCAATAGAATAATTCCCATCAGGAGCTGCACTGAAAAGGCCGTGGGGCTCCAGAGGATCAGCGCTGCCGGGATGCACGGCGTGACCGGGAGAGGAGAAACCAAAGGAGCAAAGCCCATGAGCTTTGCCCGGAGCAGAGGCTGAGAGAGAGGCAATTCCTGCCACCTCGGGGCTGGAAGGCGTGTCCAGCATTCCCTGCTGGCTGGTGGTGATGGAGGATACACCGTTTCCATGGTACTTGCACAGTTGTGTGTGTGTTCGGTCCCCAGTCTCTGTGATTACGGGATGGTGGTGATGCTGTGGGATCCCAGGACCTGCAATGCTCCCTGTGTGCTTTGCCCAGAGCCAAAAACCACTGCACGTTGGGAAAAGGGAGCTAGGGCTGAGTCCTGAGGTGGGAATGGGGCTGATTTGAAGCAAGAGGTCCTGTGTTCCAGAGGATGAGGAAAGAAGAGGGCTTCCCATGGCTCCCATTGCACTGCAGTTGGAGGGGCAAATTCTGACCTCCTCAACGAGGTCAGATGGATTCTTAGACTTATACAATCCCAGAATGTTTTGGGTTTGAAGGGCCTTATATCTCATCCAGTTCCAACCCCCTGCCATGGGAAGGGACACCTTCCCAGGTTGCTCCAAGCCTCATCCAACCCGTCCTTGGACGCTCCCAGGGATGGGGTGTACCATTCTAGGGATGGGACTACAGTTTAATAAGAGGATCTTAAGAGGCATAGAGCATTCAGACACTACCCTCATCCAAGGGTGACATAATGCCCAGTGAAATCACAGTTCTTTAATCATTACCAATGCCAGGAGAGATTTGAGTGGCAGCACTCACTCATGTGAACCTACAGATTGTGATACAATAACACACCTATGCTGGCCCCAGGAACCCTCATCCATAAAATGTCCATCCTACTGTTCAGTGTAAACATCCTCATTTTAGGACTTGAACCTGTCCCAGCACTAAAAACCACGTTAGCAGGAGCCCAGACCCTTTCTGCCCTGCACTGTGTGTTCAAGTGAGAAAGCTGCACTGAGTCTCTCTCAGAGTATTTTTGGATTGTTTAAGTTAAAATACTGGATAATAAGAGGATAAAATGCCCCAGTGGTTGGTCACTGGAGGTGAACAGCAGCACAACCTGTCCCCAAACCCAAGGCAAGGCCTAAGCAGCCTGGCTAGAGGATTTAAGTATTGTAAGCAGTATTGTAAGCAGAGTCCAGTCCTCAGCAAGTGTTTTCCAAGTGCCCCAATCACTCTTCAGCAGCCTTTAGGTTTGGGAGGTAGAGAAGTTGCAGAGATGGGATTCACCCTGTCAAATCTCAGGTCCCCAAAGATCCTTTCATACTTGAGAATCCCACTGTGTTATGCCCATTGTCTCTAAAACAAACCACTCCCTGGACACTCCCATCTCTCTGCCAACCCAGGAAACAGTTCAGCAAGCCAAGATTATAAAATCATACAACCCCAGAATCCCATGGTTTGGGTTAGAAGGGACTATTAAAGATCGCCTCAGGACAGGGAAACCTTCCACTAGACCAGGTTGCTCCAAGCCCCAACCAACCTGGCCTTGGACACCTCCAGGGATCCAGAGGCAGCCACAGCTTCTCCAGGAAACGTGTGCCAGGGTGTCACCACCCTCCCAGCCAAGAATTCCTTCTCAAGATCCCATCTAACCCTGCCCTCTGACAGTGGGAAGCCATTCCCCCTTGTCCTGTCCTTCCAGGCCCTTGTCCAAAGTCCCTCTCCATCTCTCCTGGAGCCCCTTTAGGCATTGGAAGGAGCTCCAAGGTCTCCCTGGAGCCTTCCCCTCTCCAGACTGAACAACAAATCACTGCTCATGGGGCCATAACCTCTTGTAAAGTCCCTCAGGAGCGGCTGAGATGATACTTTTGGGGATCTGTTGCTTACAGCACCTAGACCCTTTGGTAGTCACGGACCCTTCACTTCTGCTGTGGTTTCTGGCAGCACAAAAAGTCTGGAAAACTCTGTCTCTGCCCTCTGAATTCCATGTTCACTTTGCCTCAGTGGCGAGAAATGAAAGATAAACCAACAAGCCAATCACTCCTGCAGCATCAGTTCCTCCTAGAGGCACAAAATACGACAGGATGGGTGAGAGGGAGGAGGTTGGGGATGGAGAACCAACATCCATCAGTGCCTAAATTTGATACAAATCGCCCCGGCCACGGCCGGGCACGAGGAATTCTCCGTCTCGGATGCGCGCGGTGGCAATTTCATGAACGCTGGCTCATTTTCATGGAGATTTTTTGCCTTTCAACCCGAGTGTTTCCGTGTGGCAGCAGCTGTGGAGATGAGCTAATGCGGAGCTCAGTCATTTCCCTGCTGAAACACGGGTCTTCCTCCGCAGCCGCAGCCGCTCCGATAAATATCTCACGCAGGGAAAGACAAAAGTAATGCCTGTGCACGTGTAATTTTCAATGTCAATGTGTTCGGCGATGAGTCGGAATCATAAAAGTTATTTCATTTATTACAATCATACATAAAGCCTCTTAGAGCTGCAGACTTGGAATAGGCAATTATGCCCATAGGTTAATAACACACAGCGATTTGACTGACAACTGGAATTAGATTTAAACACGGCAGAGTGGCATGCTAAAGGCACTTTATTAAAACTGTGGCTGGGGATTTGTTCAAAATACCAGTTGCATACCTTTCCTGGTGAAATATTTATAGATGGCACTATATTGTGGCCTGGTATATTGCTTTTTCTCCTCCTTTCCCCCACTGCTTTGAGCTCTGCTGGATAGCGAGGAATTTATCTGGTCAGATTTTCCTGGAGAGAGGGCAAATGCCCTGGAGTTGCTTAACGTGGGGTGATGTGATGGGATGTGATGGGCAGTGGGAATGGGCCATATAGCAGGAATTAACTCTATACCTGAATTTACCTCTCCATCCTCTCTCCTTATCACTCCCCAGTGCAGCGTCCTCTTAACGCTGCCCTCGTTATCCCACAGTTAATGATCCCAATATCCCAGACAAAACCAGGGTCAGCTGCTGATACAGTCAGTAAA